ATGCGCATACGTGAACAGTGATGACTTTACTGTCCTTAGTAGGGGTGGTAGAGCTATTCAGTGAGCATGTGTACTGTGTGGCCCTTGCATTCAAAAAGACTGAGCCAGTAAAGCAAAAGATCTGCATCAAATTTTGCATTAAGCTTGAACATTCCTCCATGGAAACTGTTCAGATGATTCAGAAGGCTTCTGGGGATGATGCAGTAAGTGCAGCGCAAATAAAAGTATGGCATAAACGCTTCAAAGGTGGTCGAGAATCTGTTGAAAGTGGTCCACATTCCGGAAGGCCTGCAACACCTTAGAACACCTGAGAATGTTGAACATGTATGGGATGCAACTGATAAAAATTGGGGCTGACAGTGCGAGAACTAGAGGCTGATCTGGGGATTCCAAAAACTATTGTATCCGAGATTTTGACACAGGATCTTGGCATGAAACGTGTTCTGGCAAAATTTGCTCCATTGTTTCTGCTACAAGAGCAAAAGGAACATAATGCTGCACTTGCCAATGACTTGATTGAAACTGCTACCAATGAACCAGATTTGGCACCCTGCAACTTCTAGCTTTTCCCAAAGCTAAAATCGCCTTTGAAAGGGAAGAGATTTCAGACTGTCGATGAGATTCAGGAAAGTGTGACGGGGCAGCTGATGGTGATTCCAACAGTGAATTTTGCAGAGTGTTTTGAACAGCAGAAGAGATGCTGGGAGAACCGTGTGAGGTCACAATGTGCCTACTTTGAAGGGGACTGAGGCTTTACTGTCTTATGTACAATATTTCCCTATCTTGTATCTTGAGTAAATGTTTCTACGTTTCATAGTGCATGGCTGGATACTTTCTGGACAGAAAGTATATCCCCCCTTTTCTATTTTCTTTTTTTGTTAGATTGACAAAAAATATATATTTTGGTGTGCCACAGAATTTAAGTAATTAGTTTATAGGTGTTCTGAGATGAAAAAGGTTGAAAATCACTGATATGTTAGCTCCTAACAAATAATCAGAAAATGTTAGCATAACTGGTGTTATTAATAGTTACTACTCTTTGATTCATCATTATCCTCGCTCTCATCCCCACTTTCCTTTCCCCTTCTTGGCAAATCCCTCCGTATCTGTCAGTATTGAGTTTATTGTCATCTTATCTGAAGGAAGGAATTCTCGTGCAGAATTCATCCCTCCTCCCTCCCTCCCCTATAGTGTCTTGAATAACAGCCTCAGGATGAGAGGCACTGTGTTGGACCAATAAAAAGTGACCACCACAGCAGATTCACTTCCTTCACCTTCAACACCTTTATCCCTAAACTTTTTCTGGTTTTCCCTTGGAATCTCATGTGTCCTACTACATAAAGACTAACTGTCCCCAGTGTTATTTCTGAAGATCCAGGCAGTGTAGTACCTTCCATTCTCCTTTGACCACCCTTGCCCACCTCTGGGGGCGTCTGTCTCCATCACGACTTCTCCCATCTAAGTGGGATGCTCAGCTCTGATAGCAATCAGTGTATGCGGCTTTATTGTATTGTAAAGAATTATCTGTTTACGTTATAATTATCTGCTTATATAATTATCTTCCCCACTGCACTCTGAGCTCCACAGAACTTTTTCATGTTTGTAACCATAGGACATAGTAAGTGTTGGCCACAAAGCAGGCAGTCATTACAGTTTCTTTTTTGAATGAATGAATAAATGATATTCATGTATGATTTGGGACATCAGCTATCACCTTCTACTGATAAATTCTGCTGCTTTAATAAAGCTGTTACATCTAGGAAGTAGTGCAATTTGGCAGAAATACCCTGAAGTAGGAGTACCAAGATGGATTTTTTGACCTAGGTGAACCACTTTCTGTACCTTGGTTCCTTGAGTTGTTGCAGGAAATATGAGATACTACTTTGTCCATGAAAGATTTTTACAGATGTAGACTGAATTATTGTTCTGGAAAATAAGCAAATTTTATCACAACTATTGTGCTTTGATGTAATTTCTCTTTGTTTTACAAATTTGTATGATAGTTGAAAATTTGTGAGGAAAGATATATAACTGTAAGTTAGCCTGTCTTATTAACAGGACGAGTATTTGAAAAATAATAAGCATAAATGTAAAATTCGTTTAGGGCCTCATAATTTATTCTTTTCTTTTTCTTTTTTTAAAAAATTTTATTGAATTTATTGGGGTGATCTTGGTTAATAAAATTATATAGATTTCAGGTATACAGTTCTGTAATACATAGTCTGTATATTGTATTGTGTGCTCACCACCCAAAGTCAAATCTCCGTCCATAACCATTTATCTCCCTCTTTACTCTCTTCTACCTCCCCCCAAGCACACTTTCCCTCTGGTAATCACCATACTGCTTTCTGTGTCTATGAGGGTTTTTGGGTTGTTTTTTTTTTTTGCATAATCCTTCACTTTTTCACCCAACCCTCTAGCCTCCCAGTCCCCCTCCCCCAATAGCTGCTATTCTGTTCTCTGTATCTATAGTCTTTTTGTCTATATGTGACTTTTCGTACATGTTTTATTTCATTACCTCTCACAGTTTGAATTTTTGATTCATCCTTTATATTCTTTTTAAGTTTTAGGTGTAATTTTATTATCATTATTCTAATGCTTTTAAGAAACTATTTTCCTGTTCCATGTACTTTAGTAAGTCCAGTTGAACAGAACAATGGATACTATATGTATACTGGTCTTGAAAGATAGTCTTTGGTTTTGGGTTTTTCTTTTTAATAAAATGTGAAATCAGTTGTTGGGGGTTTTTTTTTTACTAACTGGTAACAACTTACGTGTGCCATTTGATGAGCTTTTTAAACCTCTTTGTGATTTACTTTCAATATCTGTAAAATTGGGATAATAATGTCTTATAGAGGTACTTAGATAATTAAATGAGTCAAATATCTGTAAATAGCTTAAAATAGTTTTCTGAACATAGTAAATGTTCAGTGGTTGATTTTAATTGTTGATGATGCTAGTGATAATGTGCCAATGTTTCTTTTTCCACCTTTTTTCAAATGTGCCTAATTGTTCATTTTAGCCCTGGAATAGCACTGGGAACATTATTTTCTTATTTCTCCCTGAACTTTCTCTTATTATTTCTTCCCAATTTACCATGGTAATTTGATTGTTTTTCTAAATCTCAATGAAACTTTAGAATGGATAATAGATAATAATTTATGTATAACTGTTGAATGCAGAATTGAATGACAGCAATAAAATGTCAAAAGTCTTTTCAAGTAATATACTTCAAGAAATACATGTCAGAGTTTTTTACTCATTGAAAAACATCTGTTTAATGGAGATTCAAGCCTATCAAAGTTAATCTGTTTACCTGCTATCATATTCTACTTGATTATTAAAATTTCACTTTTTACATTTGCAATAATTTCTACCTTTTCTGATATTTATATCAGATGCTTACAATGTAACATCTTTACTCTAAAAATTTAGGAGATAATTTGAAGTAACTTTTAGTGGGTGATATATCTAAAAGCAGTTTATCATGATTTTGAGGTAATTTTGACAGATGACAAGCTTTCTTTAGGGAAGTAAATCACTTGCTTTTTTAGCACATTCAGTTTGCAATTAATTGTGGTAAATGTACATGGGAAATGTTATAAGTAGCAGAGTCTAGTTTACACAAAGCCTTTTTGTATGTGTTCTTCCAATTAGAGCTGTTGCATGTATTCAACTTCAAAGATTTCAGTGATTGCTGAAATGTTAAATTTGAGGCATATTTTGTTTATAAAAAAAGAACAAAAGTGAAATTATGTAATTATATAATTGAATCAATTTCACAATATTCACTGTTTTACAGTAAAAGTTCCTCTTTAGTGTCACTCATTTTAAAGTATATAATCAAAGTTTCTCAAACTATATCATGTCTGAGTTACTAAAGCTTTACTTTTTAAAGATCTAAGTAGCGTAGTAGTAGAAGTTGAAGCTCTGCTATTCACCAACATTTCAATTATTAGAACTTACATCTTATTTTCTTAGCCATTCTATTTAAATATCTTATTTTGATCATAAAGGTAATTATGCATCTATCCTTACCTTATTCCTTAAGGTTTCTGCCATAATTTGTTTAATCATTTCCACATCTGCTTCTAAGTTTCCAAGTTTTATTATGCCAATTTTGTAATAACCCTAGAAGGTTAGTTTGTTATTTTAAATAATTAGCCTTGAGGAAAAAGATGTAATTACTAGATGGAGAAGTATATTGCATCTTAAGATTCTGAGAGCATTAGTAGTGTGTTTTTAAGGAACCAAAGATTTGGTAATACTGATGTTTTTTGGCTAATTGCATTCAAAAAGTAATGGTTTTCCTTCTTGATGGAAATGTATCACTATCTTTGTCTGATCACAAAGGATCTATGTCATTAAGTAAAGGACAAAGGTTTTCCTGAAGAAATGATTAAGAATGGAAAAGGGAAGAGGGAGTTTGGGGGTGGGGAAGGAGTGATGGGAGGGGACTGAAGTTTGTGTGTGGGATTAACTGAGATTACGAGTTTGCTGTGTTCTAGAGAGTTCCAGAGAGAAGGTGAGAAGGTAGTGGGAAAGAGATTAGGGTTAACAGCACTCGCAGTATGTTCCATTAAGATACTTTTGGCACAAGGCAACCTTTTTGCTTTTGGAGCCTTTGAGGTGTATGGATCTAAAGGGAGAAAGTGTATACTAGTTAATTATATTAACAGGGAATGTTCACAACTTAAAAAAAGCAATGATTATGTTTTCATGCCACTTAGGGAACACCTTTTTAATGAATAGTGTGAAAATACTAATGTACTAGCTATATTTAACACTTTCTTGTTTATTTTCTTCCTTTCTGTGTATGTGTCTCCCTGTTAAGATCTGAAATGTAGAGATGATAGGATCCAAATGTGCCTTGTTAAAATGTGTCATTAATTATCATGGATACTTTGAAAATAAAAGACTAATAAATATTAATTAATTTGGTTTAAGGGACCGGTCTAAGCTTTGTCAGTTTTTCACATCAAATTTTTTCTTTTACTAAGTTTCATAGGAGAATTTACAAAGGGATCCCACTCCAGCTCCGAGGTGAAGTCTGGGCTCTGCTTCTTGAGATCCCTAAAATGAAAGAAGAAACAAGGGACCTTTATAGTGTGAGTATCTGAAGCTAACTTGTCATTTTGAAATTCAAAAGTAAAATCCATTTCTTTTAGCATTCAAGGTGATATGAGATACTCATATAACCATTTAAAATTATATTAAAATGATATTACACTGGGTTTTATAGGCCTATTATCTGTTTTCTTGATTGTTTGGTTTATTGAAGTCTTCTTCCCTAAATTTCAAACAAGTACTTCAGTGAAAATGTTATGTTCTGTATCAATCAGTAAGTATTAAGTGCTTTTCAAATACTTGAAATGATCAACCAGCGTTGAGCCATACTCATAAGAAAAATTGACTGAGACCTGACTGTAGCTGCTTGTTTGCAGTGTAGTATTAATAAAGAGATTTACGTGTCACTTTCAGAGTTATGGGAAAATAATAGCAGAATTCAATTTATCCAACAACTGCCTGTGTATGATTGACTGTTTTCTTCTAAGCATGAAAAAGAAGAATTTTTCCTGAAGATTATTAGGGTATCTCTAGGTTTTATTATTCATAATAAAAAGCTACACTGTATTCAGTTATCAGTAACACATTCCTTCAATTACCTCATGCATTAAATTTACTTCTTTGTCATCTCAGCTGTATTACTTTGAAACCTAAATTTTATATCAGTCTTTAAAAGCGGTAAGAAACTTATGTCTGAGAATCAGTTTGAAATATGTTACTCAGGAAATGTATATAAGTAGAATAAGCTAGAATAGATGGAACAAAGAAGAACTATTATTTAAACCCAATTTCAGTTATAAAGGAGGCTTTGAAATTCTCTTTGGATATTTTCATTGTAATATATGTAAAATTTCATCAAGATGAAGGTAATAAATACTAGTTATTTTAAAGAATTACTCATTTGGTATAACTCATAGATTTTCAAAATTAGCTGATTGGACCCTACATAGACTGTAAGTTTGTTCTTATGGTTATAGAGTTTCAAATTATTTTAGACTGTTGATTAAATGTTTGCTTTTAGTGTATTAGTTGGACAGCCACTAGTGAAAATGATGCCTGAGAGAACATACAAGATCTCACTTAGCACCTCCTAAGTGTGCCTGGCCTGTGGTCTGTGCTCAGTAAAGATTAGCATGCTGCATGCATTTCCTAGGGCCAACAAAGTACCAGAAACTGAGTGGCTTAAGATATTGGAAATTTATTCTTTCACAGTTATGGAGAATACAGTCTGAAATTAAGGTATCAGTAGGACCCCACTCTCAAGGCTCTAGAAAAGAGTCCTTCCGTGACTTTTCCTAGATTTTGGTGGTTGCCAGCAGTCTTGGTGTTCTTTGACATGTGTCTGCATCACTCTCATTTCTGCCTTCATCTTCACATGGCTGGCTTCTTCCCTGTGTGTGTCTCCGTGTCTGTCCTTTTAAAGGACACCTATCATCGCATTTAGGGTCTACCCCAATACAGTAAGACTTCATCTTCATTTTATTACTTCTGCAAAGACCCTATTTCCAAATCAGGTCACATTCATAGTTTCTAGGTAAACATGAATTTTAGAGAGACTCTTCAACCCAGTATACATGATAATATTAGAACTGTGGTTTTCAATCACGTATATTACTCCTTTTCTACATAGAATAGGATTTTTCCCAGTGACTGGTTAATATGAGAGAACCATTTGATAAAAGCCAGTCATACAATAACAACAATGAGAGAAATAACTTGCTCACTGAAACTTTCAAGTTTATCATTTTCAACACTATCATAAACATTATTTTTACTCTTTGAATTTCCCCAGCATTGTTATTTAACCAAGACTTCCTGTCTTGGCCAGTATTTCCTCCTCTCCCTTTGCAAAAGTCATGTAAACTATTCTACTCAAGTTGGAAATTTAGTAGAAATAAAACTACCTTTTCTTAACCTACTAAAGTTTTTCTTGGCTTATCAAATTGTCCTTGCTCCTCACCTGGTATGCTCATCTGTTCTTCTCTTCTTTTAATTGTATCTCCTCATTAGTGATACTATATCCTGCAAATGGTAGAGGTCCAGCCCATAGAGGTTAACAACATCATCTACAGCCTTAGTGGGGCTTAATAACCATGTAGGCCAAACACACAGTGCTAATTTTTCATCTACATGCTTCCATAGTACTTCTGCCCTCTGTTTTATAGGTTCAGTATTTCCTGTTTCTTTTAAATAAAATATTTATTCTTATATTATTGTGACACTCATGAATCTCAACCCAACCAATCTCAGAGATAACTGTAGAAGTTGCTAACTTCCTTTCATTAATATAAGAAATATGCTTGATTTCTTGTGTTCTGCATATTAACTTGTAAACAGTCTAGGGCATAAACAATCTTTCTGACCATTTTTTTTTTTCCTCACTCAACTGGGCTTTGTTTCTATCATGAACTTATTTTTTTTTATGTTGGATTTTCTTGTCTTCTAGAGAAGCTGATATTATAGATGTGTTAGGGTGTTTTTCCCCCTTGCAACTAAATTTTATTTTAAATTTTATCATTTCTTATCAAATATTTTCTTTGTTTTGACATCTTATTTTTTACCAGGAGGCCTGTGAACAACAATTGAGCTCTTTTTACTTACCCATTACCCTTCCCCCTCCCCACCCCTGATATTTAAAGAACAAATATATAATGATTGTTAGTTTTAAAGCTAAATTTTTGTAATGTATTCTGGACCAACTTATATAAGGAGTAGCATACAATAACATTTAAGTGGCTGTATGATTCCAGCATAGCACTATAAGTATCCTCTTCTGTCTTTGGAACTCTGAGTGTACCATGATTACTTTTTGTTTAAAAAAGTTATAGAAGCTGCTTTTCTCTGATATCCATCTCAAAACACAAAACTACACATAGAAAACACTTAAAATACACACATATCCATGATAGCCCTCATCTTTTCACTGTTAGCTTAAGTCAGGATTTAACAGTTATGTTTTTAAATATATCTTTGGAATTGATTTTAGCAGAAATATATATTACCAGCACATGGTAAATGGGTCATTATAACTTATGTATATAGAAACGTAATTATACTTAAGCATGGGTAAGTATAAATTATATAAATTTTAATCTCCCATCTGATTAAACATGGGTGATTAAACATATTCATTTAGTGCCCCTGAATTGTGAAATGCCACTAAATTGACAACAGAGAATGTTTTAAAAGGCAAACCTCAAGGAAGAGAAAAATAGAAGAAATTAACAGCTGCCAATTTTTGGAAACCAGAATTCAGACAAATACTAATCTTAGCAAACCTGAGAAAACTAATCATAGGCTAGCAGTGAGAAATTGGAGAAGCACCTGATTTATATTTCAAAATCTCCAAAAGCCTTGATAATTGCCAATTCCAGGTACCTTTGGAGTGGAAGTGAACAAGTCTGTTGCAGAGGCAGTTAGACCCCCTCAGTCCGTCCCACCCTGGAGGGAGACTGGAGGTTTACTGTTTGGAGAAGATAAAACAGAGGGCCACTGGGCTGGACAGAACACAGACATCGCCCAGGGCAGGGTTGCTGCACTGAAAGCACAGAGGAATTGAATACCCTGAATTTGGTGCATTGCGGCCTTTCCCTCTACTCAGCTCCCAGAACATGGGCAGCTGGGGCCTGTCTTTTTGACAGGAGAGCAGAAGAGCCGTCTCTGGAAAATCTGACCAGACTGAGAAAATAAACTTAAAGATACTGACTTCTGGGGAACCCCAGTGAAACTGCCCAGCCAGTGGAGACACAGTAGTGAATCCCCACCTCTGCACACAGAGCTTTCTATCGGCTTTTAGTCTCCTACTTTTAAATATAAGCAGACAACAAAGTATCACTATTCATTTGAGGAAAAGGAGCTAATATAAAAGACAAATTGAACAAATGGAAAAAAAGCAACTTGTAAGAAATAGGCTAGAGCGAAAGAAGAAAACAAGAAAGCTATCACTAATATCTTCAGCGGGATAAAAATAGATATTGCATCCATAAAACAAGTATAGAGTGCTATAAAAAGGAACATTTGAGAAAAACAAAGAGCTTATGAATATAAAAATGATAATAGAAATGACAGATCCTAGAGGAGAGTTTGAAAATAACAATTGAAGAAATTTCCCGGAAAGTAGATTATGAAGTCAAAGAAATGGAAAATAATAGAGAAAATATAAGAAAATTAAATGATAGCCCAGGAGATCCCACACTGTAATAATAATAAGAGTTCTGGAAAGAGAAAATGGGAATGTGGGAGAGGAGGCTGGAGAAATCAACAAGTAAATTATGAAAATTTCTCAGAACAGAGAGATGTATGAGGTGTTAAGATTGAAAAGATCCATCAAGTGTCCAACCCTGTGGATAAAAACAGATCCAAACCAAACAGAAATGTGAAGTTTCAGACATGGAGAAAGGAACTCCTATAAGCTTCTAGAGAAAAAAAAAGACTTCCTATAAAGAAGTAGGAATTAGAATGCAAACACTGGAAGTTAGAAGACAGTGAAAGCAGTGCCTTTTTAGCAAAAACATTTTCCAACTTAGAATTCAAAATAGCCAAATCGTTAAGACAGAAGGTAGCTATCAGATATTCAGAGTTTCAAAAATGTATCTTCCATATACCCTTTCAGAGGAGCTACTGGAGGACATGCTCCTCCAGAACAAGGGAATAAACCAGGAAAGATGTGATATGCAGGAAAGAGGAGACCCAAGCAAAGGCTGGCCTCACAGAGGGTGAAGGTAGACCCCAAGACACCAGCTCTGCAGCAGCCCAAACCAGGACAGGCCAGGAGGCTCTGGGGGCAATGTATGCAAGAAATTGAAACTGAGAGAATATCCGTCCAATAGGAGCATCTCTAGAGGAGATTTATGCAACTTAAAGACTGAATGAACAACAACTATGTAGAAAACAAGCAAATCAAGAAATAATGCGGTGATTAGCTCCAAGGAAGACAAGAATGTTGTGTTGGAAAGAAAACAGAAATCATAGTGGACTTTGTAACTCAGCTGTGAAGAGCTTTTACATAGCCCTAGCAATGCAAACTCAAAAAAGTTCTCTATCCAGAATTAAAATCTACCTCAATTAATGGGACATTAGGAAAAGAGAGGTGATGGGAAAAGGAAAGAACTGGGAGTAGGAGAGATGGGGCATGAAGGGGAGAGGGCCTTTTCATCGTGTGCCTTTTTATGTTGTTTTCATGTCTGAACCTGGGAATGATTTTCCTAAACCAAAATAACTTTTAAATGAGAATTATTTTACTATTTTTCCTAGGCTCTTTAACAGCTGATTTCCATAAAAAGTATACTCTTTCTCTCTTTTTCCTCTTCAGAAATTAAAGCACAGAGCACGTGGTTGTTCGCCTGATATCAGACAAATAGACCTTGATGTCAACCGCACATTTAGGGACCATATTATGTTTAGAGACAGATACGGTGTTAAGTAAGTAAAGTTTAATGTTATGCAATGTAAGTAGCATTTATAAATAGTCTCTATCAAAATCTTTATGAACTTAAAATGTGAGTGTTGAATGTTTCATAAAGACTTATCTTCATTCAGATCCTAAAACATTTTAAGCTTTTGCAGATCATTTGGTTCATGTTGTGTTAAACTTAAGTTCACATTTAACTTAACATTTTAAATTTTTGACATAGTTGGTGCTATAAAATTGGTAAAGAATCATTTTACAATTTGTGAATTCTTAAAAACATGGTATATACTTTATTAAAAGTCTTAGAAAAGAGAGATTGTGTTGCTTTTCAAGAACTGTGTCAGTGATAAATAATATTCCTATAACCTTGACCCCATGTATAGATGAAACTAAAAAAAAGTGAGGAATGAGTGAAATGACTATGACAATTCATGAATGAAAGGTATAGTTTTGCAGACCTCTCTATTGCTTAGAGTTCATCAGAGAAACAGAAACCAGTAAGAGATATATACTAAAGAGGATTATTGTGAGGAATTGGCTTATACAATGGGAGGGGCTGACTAGCAAGTCCGGGATCCACAGAGCAAGCCATCAGGAAGGGCAGGCTGGGATTCTTGGGCCTGAGCTGAGGCTGCTGTCCTCGGGGGGAATTTCTTCTTCAGGGAAGCCACAGATCTGCTCTTACAGCCTTTTAACTGATCGAATCAGGCCCACTCAGATTATCTAGGATGATCTCCCTTACTTAAAGTCAACTGATTATGGATTTTAATACATGTACAAAACATCTTTATAGTAACACCTAGATTTAGAATAACCGGGTATTGTAGCAGAGCCAGCTTGACAAAGCTGACCATCACAGTCAACCCTTGTCAATTTAGTTTCCAAATAAAGACAATAACAAAGTTATACTTTGGCCTAACTGTTCTGATTATGAACCCTTTCCCCACAAGAGGATGCATGCTCACTGTTCTGCTTTGGTATTCTATAAGCTAATTACTGTGATATAAAGTTAACTATTGTTAAAATATCTCATATAAGATCATTGGGGAAAAGAAAAAGGAGAAACACAAAAATTTTTTTAACATATATGCAGACATATACCAAAATAAGGAAGAAATACTTATTTATAGTCATCATTTCTGCAACTGGGCATGTGGTCATAGCTGGTTTATAACCCTTTCTGCTACCCATTCCACATTTCCTTTGCCCTTATTAAGTACCTCTGCTTATTATGGTTACCTCCTTGGTGAGGTGACCTAAACCTTTATTCCGAAAGGATCTGTCTGGATCATTAGCAGTCCAGCCCAAATTGAATTATTACAGTATTCTATAAACTTTAATCACAGGTTTTGGTAATGCTAAGAGACACCCTAAATGTTCTGCTGTATTTTAGACATACCCTTCCTTACATCCACCATCTAGTAGCAGCTCAATTTCCCCTTAATAATCAGTATCAATCACCCTGGCTAATATAATCACCCTTTCTTTGCCTGTTGATTCAGAGTCATGAGGAACCCAAAGTGTTTGGGTGGTAATCTCAACTTTTAGTTCAGGGGAATCATTGTTGTGTCTCCTTGTGGAAGCCTTCCCCACTTTGGAACTAATATCTCCAGATGGCCAGAGAGCCTTAGGTTGATGGGAAGGGAAACAAACATTTTGCTAGTGGAATACCAGAGGTTATCATGCGGGGAGCCCTACCCATTTCTACCCCTTCAGATTGGACCCCTGAATCCTGGCTGTGGGAGAGACATAATATATATGCAAGCTGATTTAGAGCGCACTCAGCCTCCTGGAGGACACTGCGCCTGCTATAGCTCTAACAGGCCATCCCATGGTTCTATCAAGCCAGTTGCTTCCATAAGGGTGATTTTTATTGTGAGAATAGTTCAGTGAAAGAAGGCAACACATTCAAGAAACTGTGAAGCCTTTTGTGTTTTTCTTGTTATAAATTCTTTCTGGCAAAATGCATGTTGTTTAACCTCAAACTTATACCATATAGAATATTGTTAAAATTTGAGCCTGGGATCATTTCTTTATTATGATAGTAATTTTATCTGGAGTATCTTATTTATTTTCAGTCAACTTTTTTTAAGTTTATCATTTTTAAAATATGTGAAATAACTAAGCTGTGTTCAATATGAATTTTCTTTTCTCTAGGCAACAGTCCCTGTTCCATGTTCTTGCTGCATATTCTATTTATAATACGGTAAGTTGGAGCATGCCTGCTCCTCGCTTTTTGAGGTGTCTCCTGAGGAACGGTAGGAGTCTTTCAGCTCCCCCTGCCTCACAAGGCCCTTTGGGGCTGAGTTCCTTCGTTTCAGGACCAGATGATCTCCACATTCTTTGAGCTCTGTGGATCTCTTACAGTAACGCTGAGTCATAGAGCAAAGCTGATTTAGAAGTGGGAAAAACCACAGCATGTCAGTGGATCTTACTGTGTCCCTCTTTCTCCAGACTGTTTTATTATTCTGATGTTTTTGTTTGTTTTGTTTTTATTTTATGGAAATAGGACTGGGAATGAGCAGGGCTAGAAGGATAGGAAGTTAGTAGATTAATTTTTGCTTTGCTTTTTATCCATTCAGTGAGGTTCAAACTGCCTACTTGCTATTCCCCAGAGCAGGATAAGACTAACCTTTCTTGTAATGGAACATGTTTTTCTTTAGATATTTATCATTTTGGGGGGAGATGATAATTTGGGGAAAGATCAATTAGGATTGAAGGTAATTGGGACGTTAAATAAATGCTTGTTGACTAGGTTTCAGGAAGGACAGCCTTGAACCTTGAGATATGTAATTTCTATTGTAATGAAAACCTTTAAGTTACAAGGGGCAGAAATTCTCCAACTAGGGCAAGTTAAAAGGAACTTATTGAAGGGACTTCTCATAGAAGCAATAGTTGGGCCTCGTGGGCATTGGAACTGGAAAGCGAGAAGCCTTCAATGAGAGCTACACTTTTTATCTCTTCCACTTGGGCCACATGCTGATCTGTAAACTGTTTATTCCAGATTGCTTTCTTTGCCTACTTATCAGTATTTCCATGGCTAAAGTTGCACCCATGGACTCTCTGTGACCATTCTATTCAAGTACACATCACCATCTGATTACAGTCTCTGGGGCTTTATTCGGAGTTCCTAGCAAGAGTTTATGATTAGCCAGTGCATCCAATTAATTGTTCCCCTGGGGTGAGGTGTTCTCTTCTCCTTCAGCTTTGGTTCATGTGCTACCAACATGAATGCTTAATGCCACACTATAATTATGGCAGGGAACATGGGGAGAATGGGCAGTTCTCAGAGAAGGGGCATAACTTGGTTGGATGTGTCTACAAATGTGTGTATGTAAAGGTCTAGACATCAAGAGGAGGCCAGGCAGTGAATTGGGACTGTAGGAGGAGAGGACTTGCTAGCATCTGAGCAAAGCAGAGGAATATTGAGCTGAGACGCATACAGAAAAAAGAAAAGAAAAACCTGTTAGTGCTCTTTACAGAGGGTATTATAGCTGAACAGGGGGCAATAAAAGTACATTTAGGTTTAGACTTTGTTCACACCTGTATATTTATTCTTGAACACAATTTTATTCTTTTATAGTATGTGGCTCAGTGCTATGAAGATTCTAATATTTTTTTCTGTAGAATTACTCATTCCATAATGTATTTAGGTGTTTTCTGGTTATTTTATAGGTCAGTTATTTATTTTTTTTTTATGTGTGCATGCATGTAGTCTGATCTTAAAGCTCCCGGTTTCTTTGTTCTCATTTACTCTTCAGGAAGTTGGATACTGTCAGGGGATGAGCCAGATCACAGCCTTACTCCTTATGTATATGAATGAAGAAGATGCCTTCTGGGCCCTGGTCAAACTCTTCTCAGGCCCTAAACATGCCATGCACGGTAAGAAAGCCCCATAGTTTATCATAAACAATAAGCAAGAGAGGGAGAAAAAAGTCAAACTGTGGAAGATGCTTGGTAGAGTTAAGTACAAAAACTTACTGCCCAAGGGCTCGTTCAGTTAATTACTGTTTGTTACAAATTTTTTATTTCATTTCTCTTTTATTAAACTCTAATAAATTTTCCTTTTCACATTTATACTCCTTTGTGTTTACCCCAGAGTATATTTTTGGCATTTAAAAGTTCTTTGCTTACTTGCCCCTATAATCAGAAGAAACTAATTTTAGGTTTGGAGCAATTTTAGGAAAAGCTGTATTATTGGGAGGAAAAAAAATGCTTTTTGATCAAAACTTTTAGACAGTCACACTATTATCATTTCAGTGAACTGTTTATTATTGATTGGATATTGTTATATATAACTCTTTGTCAAAGAACATTCATTGAAAAATGATGCTTAAGGTGTTTAAAGAAAAGGTACATAATAAAGTAGTTTCGTATAACAAGTGTGTGTTTTAGTTCTTTCAGCTGTAAAGTAGATTCCATTTTACATAAAAAGCTGGTAACACATTCTGGGCACTTTTTTGGTTTTCAAGTGACAAGATTGATTTTAATAACTGTGTCCTTATATTTGCCGAGCATATGCAATAAACTTTATTTAAGACTTTGGATTACAACTTGTCTTGGAAATTAAAGTGGCATTTGTCCATATAATGCAAAACTATTTTCCCAGTGCCATCCGCGTGATAATACCAAACCAAAACCAAAATCTAACACTAATCACTGTAAGAATGGGTCATATAAGCTCTGTGAATATTTCAACTTTATGTTGTGGGGAGCCTGCAACAGTTTAAAGTGATATTTTAACATTTCAAAATCATGGCCTTCCATAGTTTAGAGCTTATTAAATCTCACATCCGTACCATGTGTTTTTCGTGTGAGAGTATTTTGTATTTGTGTGGTCTGTGTGTATACGTGCAAATGTGCGCACACACACACATGTGTTAGCATTTGGCTGTCTCCCTCTGTGTTCCTTGCAAATTTTTAAAATAAATACTATCTTCATGATAACTGTTTCTGGACAGTTTGCACCTCACTAAATTGATGACTCCAAAAATATGACATATTATATTGAATTGCCATCCAACAGACAGTATCATTTAAAAAGCATCTTGAAGAAAAATAACTCTGCCTTGTATATTTTTATTTTGCTTTATCATGGGATGATGTTGCTGGTATTTGTTGAAGTACAATGGATTGTTTTAATTTAAGTGTATGTAATTGGGTAGAAGACTGCCCAATTTTAGAAAAGTCTTTTTTTTTGCATTTCATATATGAAAGTTTCACTTATAAATGTACACAGTAAAGTGAGGGCTGAAGAAAGTGAGATTTCAAATATCAAGTCTAGGATGTCACTGAAAAGTGAAGAAAGATTAGGTGTCTTAGCTTGTATTTATTATGATGGGCATTGCCTTTTTTAAAAATCAGACTTCTTGAAATTCTTCCAGTTCCCATTACTATCAAATTGACCATGAAAGTGGCACAGATGGAGAGAGATGTGGATTTTTTTAATGAAATTATATAAATGGAAAATATTACTAAGGATAAATAGAATCTCTATCTATGGAAATTTGTACACACCTTAGAAAACTGAGAAGTAGTTAAGAAATAGCCCTTCCCCAAAGATGATAAAGTGGTATGTCCCAACAGTATGTGAGGAACATAGTTTCACTTTTGGGAAGAATGTTTTGAGGGGCCGGGGAGAAAGTCTTCAAGGTCAATTAAGTCTAGAAGACCAAGTTAAACAAAGAAAAATGTGTCTTTTGTCTATAAAACAACTTAGAAACATTAAGAAGCTCATTTGCATCATGAATATCCAAGGAGGGTATATATAACATAAAGCATTTCCCCTGGATTTTTTTTTAAACATGGAACATCTATAATATCTTTCAAAGTTACATAGAATCCAGGTTCTTAAATACAAATATGGGAAAAACTATAAATCCATTAAGTATATATCCTTTTTAATGGATTGTGTAGAATGTCTGAAAGGAGACCTGTGAATAAAAATAGATATAAAGTTCCCTGAATTAAAATATACAAAATTAATGCTGAATTACTATTTACAATTAGTTGTAGCCTAGAAATCTTATACATTGTATTATATAATCAATTGGGGAAAAATTCCATTTTTGATGTAACTGATCACATAGTGCTAGTATAGTTTAGCTGTTATTAAATATCATTTATAGAAAGGATTAAAAAGAGATAAAAGCTTTGAAGGCATGATATTAATGACATTTTCAGAGTAAACCTGAAAAAAAGTAATAAAATGTTTGTTATTTAATGTATTAACAGTAAAACAAAATGGTAACAAATCAAGATATCACCCAATATTTTAAGAGAACAGGTAATCTTGATAAATGGCTTATGTCCATTTTTTTCTTAGCTGCTTAGTTTTCCTTTTAATACAGATATATTCTGTTCTCTTTTGTATTTTTATAAGGTTGTAGGAGATCTTTAGAAAACAAATACTAGGCTACAGGTTTAGAATATTAGAACCAAAGCTCACACACAATTTTTTTGTTGTTGGGGAGGAAAAATATTTAGGTAACTACTGGATTTAATTTTTGTTGTTGTTTTGACCATTAAAAATGAAAGTAATATTTCATTTAAACATAGGGATTTTTATTGGTCTTAAGAAGTATTTTTATGTTTGTATTCTAGGCTTTTTTGTCCATGGTTTTCCTAAGCTCTTGAGGTTTCAAGAACATCATGAAAAAATACTGAATAAATTTCTATCCAAGCTTAAGCAACACTTGGTAGGTAGACGTGACATTGACTTAAACCCACCTACATCAAGAGTAAAGCTAGAACCCTGGCTGGTGTGGCTCAGTGGATTGAGCGCTGGGCTGCAGACCAAAAGGTCGTTGGTTTGATTCCCAGTCAGGGCACATGCCTGGGTTGTAGGGGACAAGTCCCTAGTTGGGGGTGTGTAAGAGGCAACTGATCGATGTTTCTTTCCCACATGGATGTTTCTTTCCCTCTCCTCCTCCATCCTTTCCCCTCTCTCTAAAAATAAATTAATAAAATCTTTTTTTAAAAAAAAGAATAAAGCTAGAAGAATTGAGTGCAGCCTTTGGTCCCAATTACTGTATTGATTTATAGTGTTTTCCATTTCATTTATTATGCAGTTGTTTAAAGAACATTGGATTTGTGAAATTTAATATTGATCAACTATCATAGCCCTACCTCAAACTTTGATGTTAATATATACAAACAATGCAGGTTTTAAAGATATGTAATATTTAAGTAAATTTGAAGGTGTTTGGATTGCACAGAAAGTATTTTAAGGGTTATACAAACTCATTCTTAGTGAACCATATATACGCTCTATAATATTAAAAAAGTAGTTCAGTAAAGCAAAGATACTTCACTATAAACTGTATTAAAGAGAATCAAAATGTTTTATTACAATCCTATCATAAAAAGGATTTGATTTTCAAAAGTAAAAATGAGAAGAAGAAATAAGAAGAGAAAAAATAGAATTATTCCAGCAGCATAAAAAAAGATTTGTAATAAAATGGTTTTATGTTTAGCTGTGTTGGCTACTTCCTTCAGCCTTCCTAACTTTTAGTGTTATAAGTCTTATTTTGTTTGCTACAATCCAGAAGTTATGAAGTCTTTGTTTTTTCAGGATTCTCAAGAAATCTACACAAGTTTTTATACAATGAAATGGTTTTTTCAATGTTTCCTTGATCGTGTGAGTATTTGTTTATGAAACCCAATCATAAAATTGTAAATACCACGTGGGGCGAACTATTAACCTTATTTCTATTTTGTTTTTCATTGTAGACTCCCTTTACTCTAAACCTCAGAATATGGGATATCTACATCTTTGAAGGAGAACGAGTTCTTACTGCTATGTCTTACACAATCTTAAAATTACACAAAAGTAAGAAAATGTTTAACTATAAAGATTTCACAGATATCTGGCCGTGTTTTAACTCTGAGTTAACATTCCCCACTCAACTTCATTTTCTTTTAGTAATGAGTTTTAAAAATTCCTGAAAATCAGTGAAGAAATTATCTTCAGTTGGCACTTTACTTTCATTGATTCTTATGACTAGAAGCTTACCTCATTGCAAAGGTCTTTGATTCTTTTCTCTATATCAGTTTTTTTTTTTTTATTTTCATACTTAAAGAGTAGAATACAATGTGGCTTTGCTAATAATAATCTTATTAAGTATTTCTTTCCACTGGAACCCCATCCTTCCGTTTCATCATTCTGAATCTCAACATTTGTAGTAAAAGAGAGAGAGGCTAAAGAAACCAGGTGCCTGAATTAAAAGGTCTAGAGAGCCAATTTGCCGTTACTGTTTCCTTTATCCAGGAGAAAGCATCCAGTTTCAAGGTACAGAACAGGGTTGGGGAACGTTCAGCTTATCGCTCTGCTTGACTGCAGTGTGGCCTCTGGGACAAGTACAGGCCATGGCTATCGTTGCCTTAAGGCAACTAGGCTTTGAAAAGTCTGCAGTTGCAATATTTCAAAGGCTCTATAAATTTGATGTGTTATGCCTTATTTTAAAATCAAGAAATGAGAGTGTTTCATGAAATGAAGAGCTCATCCATCTTAATGTTTCAATTCATCCTTAAAAATATGTGACTTCTTTTGTAACTACACAAAGAAGAGAATCACTGAAGGCTTTAGAACTGCCCGTGTGCTTCTCATTCAGCCACACAGCATAGTTTCATGTTCACTGCATTCTACTCTTCTTATGTTGTTCTTGAATGATTCAGCTCTTCAGCTTCCCAACTGAATTATGATCTAACTAAGTAATTACAGTCATGTTTTATAGTTTTTTTCCCTCTCCTGTGTGTGGTGGTGTTCTAAGTGCACATTAGGTACTTTAATATAAGACTGTTTGATTGCTTACCTGAAAAGCATGGACTTCACAAATGCCAGACTGTCCAAACTTTAGACAAGAGTAAAAACTCCCTTTAAAATCACATCTGTATTACTCAGAAAGAAAAGGATTCAGAAATGTTGTGGATTGCTCCTCTGACACCCAAGTCCTCACTCCCCCAAAACACAAAGCACAGCACCAAACAAAACAAATGACAGTGAATTGTTTTCAAGATTTGTATAACCACAGGAAATCAATCAATTTCTCTCAGTCTCTCCCCTCCCCTTTCCTTTTTTTGGATTATAAACTGACCAAGAAATAGAACAAAAGTATACTTTTTGTTAAGATACATACTTACTAGGTGAATGTTCCCTAAACATGAGGAGTAGAAACGTGATCTCCATAGCTCTCTTCTCCCTCTTAAAGTATGTTTTACTTATATGACTTTTTTGTTTTTTCTTTTCTTTTTTTATTTAACAGGTTTTTTTATTGTTGTTCAAGTACAGTTGTCTCCATTTTCTCCCCACGACTTTCCCCCACCCCACCCATCCCCGCCTTCCACCCTCAATCCTACTCTCCTTGGCTTTGTCCACGGGTCCTTTATGCATGTTCCTGGACAACCCTTCCCTTCCTTTCCCCCACTATCCCCCTCCCCTGTTCCCTCTGGTCACTGTCAGTTTGTTCTTTAGTTCCATGTCTCTGGTTCTACTTTGCTCACTTGTTTGTTTTGTTGATTAGGTTCCACTTAGAGGTGAGATCATATATGACTTGATTAATTTTGACAAGTAAAAATCTCTTCACCCTTTGTAAATGAACTTTAAGCATAACAATTATTAATAGGTTATGTTCTATCATTTCATTAGACTAAAGCTGTGTAAAAAAGGCTATTGGCTACTATGTATGTTTTCTTAGGAAGAAAAAGCCCAAAGACTTACAGGAAGTTCCTTCATATAAAGTTTGAAAAACTGTGTCCAGGGCTCTTAACCAGTAGTTAGCTGAAGCTCCCAACAGGTTTTTTTGGTTATTTCCTGATTGCCTTAATAATATTAAGAGACAGTGTTACAGGACATTCGCCGCATAGTGGTTTTAAATAGTTAAAAAAGAAAGGAAACAACCTAAATGCCCAATATTAAAAATTATAGTGCATATATACAATGGACTCTTACAGTTATTAATAATGATGGTATAAAATTATACTTGTTGAAATAAGAAATATCAGTGATATACACATACATTATTGAGTGGGGGAAAAACAAAGAGGTGAATATCATGGAAAATGTAATTTATTTTTTAAATTAATGCACATATACACATATCTTATAGGGCAGTCGCCAGTGGGATCTTACCTGATTTTTCCTTTCTGTTTTGTATCTGTAATTTGAAGTTTTCCAGTAAAATTAATTTCATAAGTAGAAATAAAAATAAAATTACCAATGCATATTTTTTAAAATTTCTGAAACAGTAAAAATATAGACCTAAATGTTCATTGGGAGCTCATGCCAATAAAACGGAAAGAGCTCTTGTCACCTTTGATGGTCTGCGTTTATTGTATGCAAAGGGGCTCTTGCTCTGGGTTTATATCAATGCTTACATACCATTCTTAAAGCAATGAGAAAGTACTTAGTAGTATTTTCCTCCCTACCCCCTGCTTGTACAAGTACCTGCTTTTCTCTGTGACTGCTTTAATATCAGAAAATATTTTTGTTATACTGAGCTTCAGTGATATTCACAATAACATATTTAATTTGTTTGTTGTGCCCTTAAAAAAAAAACTATACCAGAAAAGCAGAATAGAATGCATTATCATCTCAACCTAAAGTAGCTATTAATGTGGCATTTTTATTTCTCTGATCCTTTCTTAGAACATTTAATGAAATTGTCTATGGAAGAACTTGTAGAATTTCTTCAGGAGACCTTGGCAAAGGACTTTTTTTTTGAAGATGACTTTGTAATAGAGCAACTTCAGATTTCTATGGCAGAACTAAAACGAGCAAAATTAGACCTTCCAGAACCTGGTAAGAAATATCCAAATATTTTATATCTTAAATTTAATTTTGACTTAAATTATAATTAAAATTGAAAGACACAGCACAGTTAACACGGGCCATTTCTGTGTCAAAACATGAGCATTATACATGCTTGTGATGACATAATGTAAATCAGTGTTTTACCCGCTGTTTATGACTTGATTCTTATTTTAAGAAAAAGCAAATAAATGTATTAACTAAATCTGCCTCTCCTGATAGAATAACTGTACTATCACTACTTAAATTTAGAAAGTTGGGTTGACAAGTAATACTGTTCAATAGAAGTAACTGTGTAACTTTAAAGTAGTATCATAATAAGCACTTTTTACTTTCATCATTTCAATTTGTGAAAGTATATGCAATAGCAGAACAAGTTAGAGTCCCATTTTATAGAAGAGGAAACTGATACTTAGATGCTTAAATATGAAGCTGCAGAACCAAAAAATAGCATTACCGACACTGGAGTCCAAGTTTTCTAACTACTAAAATCCCGGGCTCTTTACAGTATATTGCAGTGTAGATGATATACTTTATTTACTAATCTCAAAACATCCTCTAGTACCTCCTATTAGGTTTTCTGCTAAGTGCTGTCCTGGGGATGAATAACTGAAAAGAAAGACAAGCTTCTTGCTTTCAGAATATAGAAGAGATGTGATTTACTTAAAGCTAGATTGTGGAGGGGTAATAATAGAGCTCAGTACAGGCTATAGAGGGAAGGATCAGAGGAATGGTAGTGGAGGATGAGAAGGAAGAAAAAAGAAAATGTAGAACGATCACAGTAGGAATAACTTTTAAGAGTTTTGACTAGATATGTGACAATGTGTGATTTCCTGTACAAAAGGTATCCAGCCCTTTTCCTTTCTTACATTTGTTGCATGGATGGGTGTGGGAAGGGAGTAGGGAAGTGGAAGGCCATGGGTAAGAGAAGAAAAGGAAATGGGGTCACTTATGAATACCCTCAGGTGCAGTTGGATTTAGCATTTCCAGGGAGTGTGGCCCATACTTTGATGTCTGCATGTGTGTGTACAGAACAAGCAGAAATACATTACTGAAAAACATATCTTTTCCCCTTTGGTGAAAACCAGGATGCTCTGCTTTTAGTTATTAATTGCAAGGGGTCTGATCATTAGCGTTTCTCTGAAGTTTGCCCTGGGTCATAAGGGCTCACTAGAAAACAAAACATTACAGCAGTAATCAAACGTGGGCATCCGCTCTCTGGACCCATCACCTTTCTTAAGTGAGGTCAACCCTCTCTCGTTCAGTGTAATAATGTCCATTTTCTACTAATCCTTTCCTGTAGCAGGGAATGCATTTGGAGCACAATTACTAACTATAGCCTTGCTGCTTTAACATTTATTCTTAAGTATGTTGACTACTTTTGAAAAGAGTTTAAGAAAGGTTTTAGTAAAAGACACAGAGAAAAAATACATAGAACTGTTTGAACATAAGACTAAAATACCAAAACCTATGGTAGATCAGTGTTTAACTAGCAGCCGATATTTACTGAATGCTTACTGTGTGCCACCTACTACATGTACTATCTCATTTAATCCCTAAAAATAACTTAAGAGAAAGTACACATCCTCATTTTACACATGAGGAATCTTATAGTCTTTTCTAAGATCTTTGTACCAGCAAACTGTAGAATGGGGATGGAGAGTGGCGCAGGGGGATAAGGGAGAGGGATCGAGAAATACAACCAGAAACATTGTCTCAATTTTGCTCTGATCATACCGCAGTTAAGGTGGAATGTGGTCAGGTGGCCATGCACTTGCTAGGACTACAATCTGTTCCATCGATCTCAACTTTTCTAATGACAAACAGTTTTACTGTCTGTTGGGGCTGATTTCCCCTCATGACTTCGTATTACTTTGTCAAACAAAAAAAGAACCACTAGTATTTTAATTGATTGTACTGAATTTAAAAGATTATTGAGAGAAAATTGATATTTATAAGATAATATTTTTTCTGAATACAGGCTTTTGCTTTTCAGATGCTCAAGTTTCTTTAATCTCCATTAGTCAAATTTGTTTTCTTCATATGACTGTTACACATATCTTATCCACCTAGCCCAGACGTCACTCCTATAGTTATTTTATCTTTCTTATTGCTACTGTAAGGTGAAATTTTCATTTTTTCTAACTGGTTAGGAAAACTTTTGCTATATTAAATTTTTTTAATCATGGTAAAATACATGACATAAAATTTACCATCTTAACCATTTTTAAGTGTACAGTTAAGTGGTATGAAGCACATTCATAATGTTGTACAATCATCACCACCATCCATCTCCTTAACTCTTTATCTTATAAATCTGAAACTCCATACCCCTTAATTAAGACCTATCTATTCCCATCCTCCTAATTCCTGGAAACCACCGTTCTACATTCTCTCTATGATTTTGACTACTCTAAGTAGCTCATACAAATGGAATATACAGTATTTGTCTTTTGTGACTGGCTTATTTAACTAAGCATAATATCCTCAAGTTCATCCACATTGTAGCCTGTGTCAGAATTTCTTTCCTTTCTAAGGCTGAATAGTATTCCATGGTATGCATAAATCACACTTCACTTATCTCACATTTTAGCTATTGTTAAATAATGCTGCAATGAACATGGGTGAACAAATATCCTTTTAAGACCTTTCTTTTCATTCTTTTGGGTATATACACTCAGAAATGGCATTGCCGGGACATACTGTAATTCTGTTTTTAATTGTTTGAGGAATTACCACACTGTTTTCCACAGAAGCTGTACCCTTTTACATTTCTACCAGCAATGCACAAGGTTTCCAAGTTCTCCACATTCTTGCCAACATTTCTTTTTCTTTTTCTTTTAGTTGCCACTTGATTGGTACGAGGTAGTAATCTTATTGTAATTTTGATTCTCATTTTCTTAATGATCAGTGAGTTTAGTGTCTTTTCATGTGTTTATTGATCATCTGCATATTTTCTTTGGAGAAATATTTGTTCAAATCGTTTGCTCATTTTTGAATTGGGGTTTTTTTTTTTTATTATTGAGTTTTAAGAGTCCTATATTCTGGATATTAATCCTTTATGAAATAAATGATTTGAAAATATATTCTCCCATTCTATGGGTTGCCTTTTTACTCTTTCAGTATTATTTTTTGATGTATATTTTTTTTAATGTTTATGAAATCCAGTTTGTTTTTTCTTTTGTTGATTGTACCCTTAGTGTCATATCCAAGAAATCATTGCGAAATCCAGTGACATAAAGTTCCTGCCCTATGTTTTCTTCTAAGGTTTTTATAGTTTTAGGGATTATGTTTATGTCTCTTATCCTTTTTGAGTTAGTTTTTTCATGGTATTAGGTAAAGATCCAACTTCATTTTTATGCAGGTGGATAACCAATTTTCCCAGCATCATTGTTGAAAAGACTGTTCCTTTCTCATTGAATGGTCTTGGCACCCTTGTCAAAATCATATAGGTGAAGATATACTTCTGGGCTCTCTATTCCATTGGTCTTAAAGTGCATGTCTTTATGCTACTACCACACTGTTTTGGTTACTATGGCTTTGTAATAAGTGTTGAAATCAGAATATTTGTGTCCTCCAGCTTTTCAAGATTGTTTTAGCCTTTTGAGGTCCCTTGAGAGTCCATATGAATTTTAGGATGGTTTTTCTAGTTTTGCAAAAAATTTCATTGGGGTTTTGATTAAGGGCATTAAACCTGTAGATTACTTTGGATACTATTGACATCTTAACAATATTAAACCTTCTAATCCATGAATGTGAGATGTTTTCATTTACTTATGTTTTAGCTAGTCTCTTTCAGCAGTGTTCTATAGTTTTTATTGAGCATGTCTTTCACCTCTTTGTTTAATTCCTAAGTATTTTATTCTTTTTGGTGCCATCATAAATGGAATTGTTTTGTAATTTCCTTTTCAGGTTGTTTATTGTTATTGTATAAAAATTCAGCTGAGTTTTGTGTGTTGACTTTGTATTCTGCCACTTTGCTGAACTTGTTTATTAGCTCTAACAATTTTTCTGGTGTGTGTGAAATCTTCAGGGTTGTATACACATAAGATTATATCTGGGACCACTGTTAATTTTACTTCTTTTTTTCCACCTTGGATGCCCTTTATTTCTTTTTTATGCCTACTTGGTCTGGCTAGAATTCCTGGTACTGCGTTAATTAGAAATGGTGAGAATAGGCATCCCTTTCTTGTTACTGATCTTAGAGGAAGAGCTTTAAGTCTTTTCCCAGTGAATATGATGTTTGCTGTGGGTTTTTCATATATGGCCTTTACTATGTTGAGGTAGTTTCCTTCTATTACTAATTTGTTGAGTGTTTTTATCATGAGAAAGTGTTAAATTTTGTTAAACACTTTTTCTGCATCGATTGAGATGATCATGGTTTTTTTCCTTCCCCTTCATTTTTTTAATGCAGTATATTCCATTGATCATTTTTTTGTATGTTGAACTATCCTTGCATTCCAGGAATATGTTCACTTGGCCATGGTGTATAATCTCTCTACTATGCTGGTCAACTCAGTTTGCTAGTGTTTTGTTGAGGAGCTTTGCATCAGTGTTCATAAGGGGTGTTCTGTAGCTTTCTTGTAGTGGCTTTGTCTGGCTTTGTTGTCAGGATAATCCTGGCTTCATAGACTGTACCTAATTTATAAATTAAACTTTATAATAGGTGTGTATGTATGTATGTATGGGAAAAAATATAGTAAACTATATGCAGGCTCTGGTACTATCTGCAGTTTCAGGCATCCACTGGCGGACCTTGGAATGTATTCCCTATGGATAAGGGGAGACTTCTATATTTTTTTTTTTTTTAGAAACTTGTTCATTTTCTGTTTGTATTTGTATAAGATTTTTGCAAAGAACTTTTCAATCATATACAAAAGTAGAAAAAGTATTGAGTCCCTTTCTCCATTTATTCATCACCCAACTTACTGAACAATTTTAAAGTGAAAATAAAGACACTATAGATCCCATATTTTAATTAAATTTCTAAA